TCCTGCTCGGCTTTTGCACGCGACCACAGGGCTCCCAGCGCCAATCGCTGCCTCCAGTTGCTCCCCCACCCGGCTTCCGTCCGGCGCCCAGATGGAAATTCAGAAAATACCGGACATTGCACATATCTGGTATTTTCTGAATTTTTCTGCTGGACAGAGGGCGCAAATACTGGACTGTCAGGTAGAAAACCGGACACCTGTCCTGCTCGGCTTTTGCACGCGACCACAGGGCTCCCAGCGCCAATCGCTGCCTCCAGTTGCTCCCCCACCCGGCTTCCGTCCGGCGCCCAGATGGAAATTCAGAAAATACCGGACATTGCACATATCTGGTATTTTCTGAATTTTTCTGCTGGACAGAGGGCGCAAATACTGGACTGTCAGGTAGAAAACCGGACACCTGGCAACCTTAACTAGAGGCCCATGGCCTAGTTCTTATTGACTAGTGGTTCATCTTTTTCTAGAAAGCTGATCCCTTAACATTTCTATAGGATACATGAAAGTTAGGTGCAGTGAGCTGGAGACTTGCTAAATGCAAATGAACTTATCCAAATTAATTTATATTTAGCCATATTTTGGATTACTTTTAAGCTGGCTCCCATGGAGCCTCCTGACACCTCCACCTCCCACTGTGACCTCTCATACACAGGCAGCAGGGGTGGAGGTAGGTGGCTCTGCAGGGGTTAGTACATGCAAGGAGCCAGCTTAAAAGCCAGCTTCCCACACACACACGCTCCTGCTTGCACCCATACTGCTGACTCTATGGAGAGGAGGGGGACCCTGCATGTAACCATGAAGGTTAACCTATGAGCACAGGCTCATCTGTTATCTATGTAGACGTTTACGTTTTCACATCCCTAATCAAAATTATCATCAGCTACTGAAAATAATATATGTTAATATTATCTCAATTTATTGCAAATGAAAATTTCATAAATCAAAATTTACTTTTTACCATTGGAACTATAGGTTAACCTCCTAGTCCGGCATCCTCGGGACCTGACTGGTGCTCTAGCAGCATGGCCAACACTGCCACTGCTTACTGGGCTCTCAGAAGACATTTAGGGGTAAATTAGAGCTAAATAACAGCACAGAACACTGAGAGCCAGCACTGGTGCTATAAACAAACTTTATGAGGCCATGGGAAACTTGGCTACACCCATGATAAGTGGACA